TTTTGCTCGAGTAAGTATGTCACGAGTAATCGTTATCAATTATAATGCACATATAAAATTAAAAAATTGTAAAAAATCCATCGAGTTTTGTTAAACATTAAGAGTAACATACCGCCACGTTGTTCAGTTAGGATCAAAATTGAAAGTCTATTTTTTCTCTTTTTCTTTTTTTCAGGCCGTCACGAGCACCACCTGATTCCTCTCGCGATCTCAGCACAAAGATTAAATATTACGTAAATCATACTCATTGTCATATTTACATCATTATCATCGATCTCCATAGTATCCATCCCCTCCTCCTCCTTCCTCTTTCTCAACTTCTCATCTATATGCCCTTTTCGTCTCCGATACGTTTTCACAATTTTGGTTCCGATGTAACTTCGCGAGTCGCAGCCATGTCGAAAGCAATGTTTAGGGTATGCGCGTCGCTCTCTTCTATCTCCTTCTCAATCTCTCCGTTGATAGACAGAAACACCTCCCGTTACATATATATATATTTACGTAATGATAGAAAGTAAAAATTTCTCCTTTCGACATACATTATAGTATATTCCCTAAGCACTACTAGCGTACGTTCGGCGCGCGGGCGTGTAGTTTCTCTCCATAAATAATAAGAAGGAAAAACCTATTCTCTCGGTCTGTCGGTCGGTCCACGCGATGATGAAACCCGCGACGACGTGTGATAATCTAGGCCGGCGTGCGTTGTCGCGAAACTGCTGCGGCTGCGGCGGCGGTGGCGGCGGCGATGGATCCTCGGCTCACCGGTCGACCGATTCAGTCGGCTGTCACGATCAGCTGATTATCGGTCGGCACGTTCACTGGCGACGCATCCTTCCGTGGCACGTCGTCGTCGTCCACGAGCTTGTCGTTCATCATCGTAGTTATAACGTTGTCGGTCGTGACAGCCAACGTGCTGTCGGGTACTCCATTCGGCAACGCCTTCGTCTTGTTCGACGGCGTGGTTTTCGCGCTCGTTGACACCCTGGACGCGACGACCTTTGACGTCGTTTTCTTCGTGGGCGAGGTAGCCGTCGTAGTGTTGGACAATTTTGCACTGGTCAAACGTGATTTGGCGGCGGTGGCAGCGGGCGCAGATGCGCGACCAGTCTTCGGCGCAGTCGTCGACGACGTCCCGGTGGTGCTGCGTCCAAGGGAGATTCGCTTGTTGGCCGTTTCCTTGATCTGCTTGTCGATCATAGGTGACTTGACCGTGCTCGTTTTGGCGGTGTTTTCACGCGTCTTGGTAACGCCGCTGGAAGCAGGTGCGGTTTTGGGTCTCGACATGCTGTTGTTAAGTCCGCTCGTCGTCGCCGGTTTCGGCGATGAGTTCGTGGACGCTCTGACGGCCAGGGAGGCGGACGTGGGTCGCGGCTTCGATGACACTGCAGATACGGATGTTCTAGTAGTCGTCGACGACGATTTGACTAGTGTAGTAGCCTTCGTGCCGCTGCTGCTAGTCGTGCTTTTGCTTATCGTCGACTTGGCAGCGATGGGTTTGTTGCTCGCGAGCTGCTTCGCGTCGCCGTTCGCCGTAGTTGATTTCTTATCGGAAAGTCCGCCGGTAGTGCTCGGCTTCGGCGAGGTTATTGAAGTATTTATGGTTCTTGGTCTTGATGCGACGGCGCTGACTCGTGAAGACGCCGTAGACTTCGTTGCGGTCGTGGTCGCGGCTTTAGCAGCCGTTGCTGTCTTAGCAGCGATGCTGCTCTTCGTCGTGGTGTTGGAGACCGCAGCTTTAGCCGATCCGTCGAGCTGCTTAGGACGAGCCGCGGCTGGTTTTTTCGTCGCTGCCGATTGCGCCGACGTCGCGCTCGTCGTCCGCGCGGTCGTGGCACTCACAGCTGCTTTGGAGGGCGAGGTCGGCGTGGATTTCGCCGACGCTGCCTTCGTTGTCGACGTGATCGTTTTCGTTGTTGTTGTGGTGGTGGTGGCAGTTTTCGTCGGGCGTTTCGCGCTCTTGACTTTGGCAGAGCTCGCGACGGCACCGACCGCCGTTGCCACCGCAGCGGCTGCAGCTACGGTCGCTGTGGCGGGTATCACTACTGTCGTAGATTCGGCAGCAACGATTTCCTCTTTCGGCTTATCCGCTGATAACTCTGCGGTTTCAGTTTTGTCTGTGGAAACACTCTCGGCGGTGACTTTTTCCTCAAGTGTCTCGTTGCTCGTAGGTGTCACCTCTATGGGCTTCTCTTTCTCTGGTTCTTCCGGCACATTACTAGACACTAAGGCCTCCGTCGGCGTGTTGTCCAGCAAAAGCGATTGGATCTTCTCGTCTTGCGTTTGCTCTTCCACGCTCGCGAGCGTACTTGGCACGACTGTGTCGTTTTGCGACGTAACAATCGACGACGTCTCGACGACATCAACGTTCGTGAGGACTTCTTCGTTATCCTTGAACTTCGATTCGCTGGAATCCAAGTCTACAAGTTCGGCAGAGCTCTTCTCGATTTGTTGTTCTTGCGTCGAATCATCAAGCATGTTCACACTGACATTTGTTACTTCCGCCGCTTTATCAACTTTGAACATAGACTCGCTGTCAAAGCCTACAATCTCCGCGGAGTTTTGCAAAATTTGTGCTTGCTGCGCTGAGAAATCGACCAGCAGATTCATGTCGACATTCGCGAGCGTTGGTGCTTCACCAATCTCCAACATTGGTTCGTGGTAGCTCGATTCTACAGGCGCCGTGGTGCTTTTCACGATTGCATCCGATATCAGAGAATCGATCGTTGCGTTGACGTTTTCGTACGTCGCGCTGAAATCTGTGGATATCTTCATATCTTCAGCTCTGATTTCACACATCTCATTGCCCTGCGAAAAGTATTCCATCAGTTTCGCGGTTTCCTCGGTCTCGGTATTCGGTTTGTGGTCCGTCTCTTCTTGCTGCACGGTTATGTTCGTCGGCGTTTCTGTGTTTTCTAGCGACAGCTCCTTCGTGCAAACGATGCTCTCCCACAAATCCTGCGGTTGCTGATCCACAGCAGCGGTCACCGCTTCAGTCGATAATGCCTCGAAGATAAGATTATCTACGTTCTGCCTGCCAGCCGGTACCACCGAATCCAACGGTTTCTGAAGAAGATCAGGCGCGTCGTTCGTGTTCGAGACGCAGTCTGAAGCAAATGGATCCAAGTCGTATTGTTGGCTTAATTTGGAAACGTCGATTTCTAAAGAAGAGGCGACGGGAACAGCAGCCGTTGGACTCAATTCGGAGGGTATCACTGTCTCCTCTTCCACCGGTTGCGGCGAAGCACACTCCAGTGTATCCTGCATCGGCGACATAGACGACAAAGAAGATTCCTTCGCGCAAGATTCTGCCGCAAGATTCGGAGTCTCTAGTAGGTCGGAGACGGCGGATTGCGCGCTCTCGCTGACTTCCTCGACCTGTTCTTTCGCCACCAAGTGATCGTCGTCGATCTGCGAGGCGATCGGTTCCGGCTTGGGAGTCTCATGCTCGCTTGTGAGGTCGTCCGTGAGCGGAGAAACGCCGAGTTCCTGTTCGATGGATGACGTTTGCTGCTGTTCCACTGTTAAGACCTCATTCGTTATGAGATCGGCAGATGTACCACCGTCGGTGTACGGTGTCGACGATGCGTGCAGAAGATCGTTCGACTTATCCATGAAAGGTGTATGCGTGCGATCCTCGTTCGCGTACGGCTCAGGTTCAGGTGAACGCGGCGGTGTGTTGTCGTTCGGCACGTAACACTCATTCTCGTCGCCCTCGACGTCTGCGCCGCTTAGGTCGTGCACGGCGTTCAAGTCGACGCCTCGTTCGAATGCTACCTCGAAGTCGCCCGGTGCGAACGACATCGCCATGGGATCCGTGGCAATATCATATTCCTCCACCTCGGACCCGACGCCGCCATCGTCGCGCATCTTCGCGCTCCACTGTTGCGTGGTCGCCATTATGCGCGCAATCGACTCGTCGCCCAATTCGGCTCTCGTCGACGAGATCTCCGACACGTCCAAGCCCTGCAGATTATCGTGGTCGCCATTCGTATAATCTGTCTTCTCGTCTATCTCCCGTGGACGATGCGACACCTCCTCCTCAAATTCGCTCTGAGTCGGCACCGGGATATCGTCCATCACCAGCGTTTGCTTCAGGGGCGAGCCGCTTATGGGAAAGTCCGTGATGTTTCTGCGGTCCAGCAACGTGGGTGACACCGCCGTCGGCACGAATTCGGCCGCGTTCGGATTCAGTTGGAAATCCATGTCTGCCTCTTGTGTCTCTTCTTCTTCGCTGCAGGCGAGCTTTCTCTCCGATTCTCCTTTCAACTCTCTTTCGTCGCTTATCTGAAAGCGCAACAGCGTTACACACCCTCAAACGCACGCACGCATACAGAGACTGTGCCACCGAATGACAAATCTTTCTATCGATCGCGACGCGAGCTGGTCGACGCGACGACAACGACGTTCGATACTTACATCGGTGTCAATAAGCTCAGACGAGGTCTCCTCCTCCGTTCGTCTTTCGCATTTAATATCGGCCGCTTCCTCCAGAGATTGGACTTCCGAGTTATCCTTCACGTCAAGCTCGGGATTCTCCCGTGTGTTCTTCTCCTCGTCGCCCGGGGCTGCAGCGCGGGTCGCCGTCGCGGACTCCTCTTTGTTCGGATCGATACGATAGTAATTCCACTCGTCCTCGGAATCCTCACTGTCCGCTACATTATCCGCTTCGGGGATCAGTGCATGCTGGAGAGGTTCTGGAAGAAGCGTGGAGAGAAGTTAGGGATGGAGTTGGAAGTCATAGATTATAATTCGCTCTACGCCACCACCTTCTCCTCTTCTAACTCTCTCATGTAGTTTTCATCAAATGCAAACGAATCGCACACTCACTGACGTCAAACATCGCTACTTATGTGCATCTTTCGAACCATTCTGAACGGAGAAAGGGGACGGCAGGTGGTTTTCGTTACGCGACACGTTTTATCGCGACCAAGTAAGAAGATTCAGCGTATCGCACACGTGCTTGTGTGTCGAGTAAACGTGGCGTTCTTTCTTCAATAATTTATTGACTTGCTTGAGTTTCTTACAGGCGCTCTCGTGCTGCTTCGTCTTACGAGGGTACCGTACGTGATATTACAATATTCACACCTTTATTTCCTTATTAGTTTACCACGACAGATTCGTCTGTCCGCTTTATCCTCATCCGAGGATTATCGGAGTTCTCGCAAAAAAAAAAATTGCCAGAGCAAACGTCACACGAGAGCCCGGAAGCTACCGCCCGCTTATTGCACAGTAAACGCGTACGAGTTCCAGTACAATTCGCTCAGCAACGCGAAGGAGGGAGCATTACGCTTTCCCCTCAAACCACACGCTTCTATTCGCCTCGTTAACGTCAGCGAGGCAACGTACCTGCGAGCTATACCTCTCCTAATGACCGGAGGGATATCGAGCAGAGAGATCGAACGAGGAGTCACCGGCAATCAATCAGCGGTGTACGCGAGCTGATCAGGTTCGGAGGACGAAGAGGACACGATCGCGCGTCACACACACATACATACACCGCGGGATACAATATATTTGGTATGGGCGACGACCGAGTCGACGACACCCACCCACCCTCTGCAGGACGACGACGCGACCGGCACGCTCGTAAAACGGAATGACTCTTCGCGGAGCGGAGCGATCGCCCTCCGGTGACTAAGAGGAACTACGCCCGCCAAGAGATGCATTATCGATCTAGTCCAGAGAGCCTCCCCCCCGGAGCACACCTCTCTCCCTCTCGTCGCTTCTACATCGCCACCCATCCAACCACCACCACCACCCACCTGTGCACCGTGTCGCGGGATAGTAGAACGGGGAAGGGGAGGTGGATGAGGGAGAGTCGCCTCCCCGAGATTGGATGGACCTCGGAAAACCGTCGAACCGAACACGTCGCATTTATTAGCGTGACGAATATTCGGACGAATTCGAGGGATCCTTGACCTTCCCAACACTGTTTTCCCGAATCTCGCGAAATTGAACTCGCAGCGGTGAGCTCCAGCGGCAGAGACGGTGTTTCCCGGCTTGAGGATTTTTACGGGGGATAACGGAATTAGCACCACGGACCCTCTTCTATTCCCGACCCCGAGGGTGAATTTTTTCCGCTACGTTGCCGTTATCCGATGACGGAGTGGACGCTTTAATAATGCGCGATTAATTTCGGCGGAAAAAAACGCTCCGTTCGGTTTTAAACGTGCGTTTTACGCGACAGGTTAATCCCGATACATTTGCCAATTTGAATAAACCGCAGGTATATACGGTTTCATTAATTTCGCCGACTGATACGGTTCATCCAGCCGTGTGATCGTCGCAAGCCCGTTGTCATTCGCCGGTATTATAAATTCGTATCATTATTACACACACGTCGTGACACGTGATATTTTAATCCTTCGAAACGTGACAGGTGTAATTGCATCCGAAAATTATGCGGGCCCTAACCGTGCTACTTCAATTACGAGCCTGGAGAAAATTCTCCTTGTTGAAGATACGCGTGAAATTTTTGTTCCGCCGCTCTAACGAGTCGAGACAAGGTGAGAGCACATTTAGACCGAGAACAGGGGAGGGGGGGGGGAACAAAGGTGGAGATTATACACAGAATAAAAGAGTTAGTATCCAATTAAAGACGATATAATCAAAAATTAAAAATCACCGTTTCATATATACGCGAGCAGCGATGTATAATTTTGACAGGAGAACTTTCAAGTGTCTTGAATTCCAACAATGTTATCATTTTATTTGAAATATTACATAAGTCTCATGAGAAATGCTCTTAATATGTTCTCCCGACATTTAAAAATGTCATTTTCAATTCGATCTTCTGTGCTTTTTTTCGTTGAACTACATAAAATATATTCTTGCAAGTAACTTATTTTCGTTTAACGTTGTGTAATTTCACCTAAAGATCGTGTCAAAAATAGATATTTCCCAAACAAGAATGTTCTTTTCTGTGCAAAAAGCGTAGCTGAAAGAACAAGATCTACAATTACACGAGGTGAACCTCGATCTATCGGCCCACCTGACTGGAGGCCGGAAAACCTACATGAAAACTGGTTAAGGGACGTTAAGAAAAACGCGCGGCCCACACGGAGAGCGCTCGCTTAACCCGTTCTTAATTTTGTCTTAAGTTGCTTTGCCCACCAACGCAAACTCGTGCCGACCAAGCTCTCTCCCACGCGCTCTATCACGTCAAACGCGTTTCACATCCGTGCGGATACACGAGCGGCATATGAACGCCGCGGGTTCAACGCTATTGTATCCGACTTCGAAAAATGATATCCCGCGGCGCCGAGTAGGGAACCAGCGCGGATGGTAGATGCGCGAAAAGATTCGCCTCGATAACGAATCGCGCCTAACGCGATTCCACTTCGCGCGCACCTTCGCGCCCCTTCTGATCGGTTCTGATCGCACGTGTCGTGCCTTCGAGGAAAGCGCATCGCGACGAAGAACGACCAACGCCCAACGACGCATCCCAGCGGACGGAATATGCGCGGCGAAGAGGACGGAGGGAAAAAGCGCGAGTGTGTCATCTTCCTTTGCCGTCCTCGCCGTGTCTCTCTTTTTTTCCACTTTCACACGCCGCGCTTTCGGTGCACGGCGTGTATCGGTCGTGAGAGCACGCAGAGTAAAGGGGAGAGTTAATTTTAAACCGACGTGTGTCAGAAGGACCGACGAAAGTACGTGGATGAGAAAGAGAGTGAGGGACAAACAGGAGGAGGAGAGAGTAAGACAGTTTCTCTCGGTTGTATCCTGGGACATAAAATATTCGCGATATGCTATAAAAAATACAAGTATATCGAGTATACCGAGAGATATGCGCGGATCGGTTATTACAGTGCTCAACCAGAAAAAATTATGCGAAGGATGACGCAATGTTTTTCGAGAGCAACTAGTCCCAAACAACATGAATGTCTGAAAGACATCTTAGAAATTTGTATTAATAGTCGTTAATTGAAACTTGCCTCAGGTGGGATACTTAGATTTGAATTTGGAGATAGACGTGAGTTTTTCACAGCTAAAACGCGACTACAAATACAATGTCGCATATATAATTCAAATAAAAAAACTTAAATCTAACTCTGAACTCTGTAAAACGTAGAATAAGTTTCCAGTTACCAGATTTGTATTAAGACCCATACTAATAGTCCTTGATTGAAACTTGTTTCATGCGAGTTGCTCAGACCTGAATTTCAAGTTACATCAAAGTTTTTCACTTGAATCATACGATACTCGTGAAATTATATTTCCAATCGCAACTCAACTGAAATTAGGATTTCCCGAGATACGACAAAACATGCGTCAGAAATGTCACGAGAGGAATCTGAAAAAATAGGACAGAGTGGAGAATTGAAGGGGACAGACTGAGAAGGGGACGGTGAGAATTAAATCCCACCCAATGCGTCTTACACTCTCCACACGCCCTTTCTAAGGATAATACCTTAATCACCGCTGTCTAGCGCAGTCTAGTCGCGGACAAACAACGAAATGATCGCCTGTAATGACCGGTTGATTTACATGCGAAAACGACGACGGCGCTGTGCTCGATTTCACGCCCAAGAACCAGACATTACCTAAAAAGGAACTCGACGCGGAGCGCGAGCGCATAAATGAAACAGGAGTGCATAATTGAAACGGGATCGCGAGAGCAAATAGGATACCACGTTCGATCGGCGATCGCAATTTTGTTGAATCGAGCGTCCGTTTCTTTTTTTTTCAAACACACAGATCTCACTCTTCCGAATCAAGTTCGCTCTCCTCCACGCGGCTCTTTCAGTTCCTAAAAATCGCGGTGCACAGTTCACTTGAATTCGCGGGACCGCTGCGGATTAACCTTGGGCTTCGCGCGGACACGGAAAAGACACGGCGAGAGGGAGTTTCTATTTTAAGTCGCGAAAAGGCACGAGTCGTAGTCCGGCTTCGTTTGCACATGACCAGAGGACAGTCGTGCCCGCGAAGACGGACGAAACACGACAAAGAAACGGAGAGAGAAAAGGAAAGAAAGAGAGAGAGAGAGAGAGAAACGCGACAGGCGACTCCCGTAATTATTCCGGAGTAATAAACGGCGGGTTTAACTACACGGCCGACGAAGTGTGCCTCGTATCGTCGCGCGTATGCCGGCGAACATGCGCGCACATCGCACATTCGTTCGCCCTCGGCAACAGAGGACCGCGTCGCGTCGCTCGTTACGTAAATAGTTATCTAAGTAATGTCGCAGCGTTTATTTAAGAACAAACGATGTATACGGGTACTAACGCGAATTCACCGAGCGCGACCGTATGGCAAGTTTCTTTTATCGCGCCTCTCTCCTCCGAGTTGAAGTTCGCGAGGACAGGCTCGCGAGTTCTTTCCTCACGGCCGCACGAACGCTCGTAATCTGTCACTTTGCGCGCGTGAGAAACATGGACGATGTTTACATGCTTCCGTCTCGACGGTGGAAAGAGAGGATGACGGAAGTGCACGGGGAGGGCGAAGGAAACGGACCTTAAGGTGAAGGTACCAATTGCCGAAAACATATCTGATACTGGACTCTCTCTCTCTCTCTCTCTCTCTCTCTCTCTCTCTCTCTCTCTCTCTCTCTCTCTCTCTCTTTGGTTGCAGGCCTAAACTCAGTGGCCCTTTCACTACAATTTGATATGGAAGTTGAATAGATATGAGAATTATAGATTTAGGTTTGTTTCTTGGAGGAATTCAAGAGGAATTTAGTAAAGGTAAGATTATCACC